CAACAATGAGCGTTAAGTGCCGCCGCCCCCGTGCCACACCTCGTTATGGGCAGCTCAGGCCAAGTGCATTTGGCTGCCACCTCGTCAGCCAGTGCCATTCACATGCTGCTTTATGCTGATCGCATCGATTTTTACTTTACTCCTTACTCGGGTATTTCGACTATTGCGTGCTGCTTAGACAGCTAAACAAAACAGACATATTTTAGTTATGGACAGACACCCTTCTAGCTCTCAGACCAGATTTGTCCATTTTGTCCTTGTTTTTCACAAACTGGACAATCGTGCCCCCTTGCGAGCACTAGCACTTCTACAGGGCTGTAAATTACCCAGAGTATAATAATAATACTATATGGCACGCTATTAAATAACCTAAAGTTATTAAAGTAATCATTGTGAATTAATTCTCAAAATGTGCGTTAGACGATATAAATTTGCAAAGCTCTGCTCTAGAGGAATCCTGCTTATGAGCACTCGAATGTGCTAATTGGATTAAATAGGAATCTAACTCGAATTATGCAATCAGCATTCAAAATCTGAAACATTCACTTTCTAGAAAGAGATTTCGTTCTAATCAGTCAGAAGTAGAGAAATAAGGATAAGATTGCTTATTTATTGTTTACTAATCATAAATAAATAAAGCTTTATACTTGTCTTTTTTGATTTAAAATGAATAAGTTTTATCGAAATGGTTATTGGAGCCAACAGTGTGACCAATTCCCATAACTTAAGCAATGTTCTCTCAAAATGAATACTGTGTGCATGTTTTAGGTGCTGTCAATAAATAAGTGTTATCGAAAAAGTTATCGAAGTAACAGTGTGACCAAATTCCTATTGAAAATTCCATCAACTTCAGCAATTTGTAAGCCCACAACATGCATAACGTATAGAACGAACCCATAGAATAGTTAGAATATAGTCTAGCTGCATGTGTTGAGTAGTTGGAAGTGTATTCAAGATGCGTTGTTCTGCGAACAGCTGCTTGTTTTTATGGCGCGTCATTTCTTTTGGGTGAGCACTTGCATTGGTCTTTGATTATGGAATTGCACTTAAAGTGTTGCAAGCTTTTCGGGCGACGACAAACCGAACGTCGCCCCATGCTATTCAATGTGTCAACGGGGTGGCAATTTTGTAATGGAATTGCTTTGCCTTAGCACTCGTTAAACTTATTGCTGTTTTTTTTGTAGCTGTTGCAGTTACTGTTGCTGTAGAGGTTGCTTTATTGATGGTAGATGAGAATGATTTGAATTTAATTTGGGTTGGCTGCATCAATGCAGATCGTGCAGCTCGCAGCTTGGTTTACCAATGCCCACTAATTATGTTAAATGCTCAAGTTTCAAGTCGTAAACGTTGCACATACGCCGAGTTTGCCAACAAGCAGCAGACGCCCAAGTCTAAAACCCAACCAGGCGCAACGCAGACAGGAAAAACAAACACAAAATGCAAAAACCTTCAATTAGTGTTTGCTGCTGCTGCTGCCGCTGCCGCTGCTGTGGCTTCCAATGCCAATGCATGCCCGGCTGATTTTGAGGTCAGCGCTCCTCTAATTGGGTCGCACACCCACACCACACGCAACACGCACACACAACCACACACGCACACACACACACACACACACATACACAAAGTGAGAGATTACAGCAGAGAGCAAATGTGCTTATCATAACAAATAATTGGCAACTTTTGCAGTTACTTCTGCCGGTTAACATTTGGCTTTAAACATATAAAATATAGTAGCGAATGCAGCTCGGCTTTGGCCCGGCTTGAAGAAATGATTGCTTCTTATCTCAAAACCCATTCTCTCACATTTTATGGGAATGTTGCAAAATCTGCAAAGCTTTACAAGTTAGATCCGATCGGACACATTGAAATAATTGTCCATACAAGCCCAGTCCTCCCATTCTCCGACTAAACCTGGGCTCGAACTGTGTAATATGTCTAGAATTTAATTAAATATAATCTGTTAACATGACTTTGAAGCTAGGGGGATAAAATATACCTTGGCAACAACTATCCGCGCATTTTTCACTCTTGAAAAATGGATTATCTTAAGATCGCGGAAACTAGATCTAACATTTCTTATATATCTAATCTGAAGTTTCGCTGGCAAAAATACTTTGAATATGCGGTTGGTAGACAAAGAGATTAATGCATCTCTCGATTCTTTACAATCGCAGGTGGCATTTTCCATAGCTTAGGAAACTAAAATAAAATACCAGCTACCCAGCTTGCGCGTTGATTACCAATCAGTGAGACAGTCAGTCAGCCAAAAAATCAATCATCAATCAGTCAGCTAGAACAAACGTTTTATATATACTAAATGAAACCTACATTTGTATTTCCCGCAATTGAACCGTTTTTTTTTTCTAACCTATTTTCCAGATACCGCAAATTATAATGTTGACGTTCGATGGTGCCGTTAACTTGAATAATTATGATCACTATCAGAAAATATTCAATGGCAAGCGCAAGAATCCCAATGGCTGCAACATACGTGGCACATTCTTCCTATCCCACGAATACAGGTAACTATATATATATGCATATATATATATAAATATATTTGCAAATATACTTAACAAGCGTCGCAGCTGGCAAAATAATAAGCCAGTTGACGGTGTGCCAGCTCTGGTGACACTTGGCCCCAAAACTACTGGCAAACAAAATTTGACAAAATCATATAAATTATTTTTGGCAATATTACGCATACGCCGTGTTGTTGCTATTATGCCACGCTGATGTTGCAGCTACTGCTGCTGCTTATGTTGCAATGTCTTCATCAGCTCGACAGGGCAACACGTTGCAAGTCAAGTCGGTCTATTTGCCACACACACGGGCAAAGTTTTTGTGCATGGTTGTGGAAAATACTTGTCACATACTTGCCACGCCCCAAAAAGCGAGCACTTGCCATACGTCAGTCAGTCAGTCAGTCAGTCAGCCTGCCAGGCAGCCAGCCAGCCCGTCTTTGCTCTACTAATTGTTGTTGATAAATTGGAGCTGGCAAAGTTATGTCAACTGCAAAACGAATTTTCGCCAAAATATATGAACTACTTTTTGGCAGACTTATAAAAACGCCACATCGGCACACACAAACACACATACACGTACGCACAACAAAGTAGAGTCCCAACAAGAAGCAGATGCAGATGCAGTTGCCATAGAATATGAAGCGGCAGTTGAAGATAAAGACACAACAGCGCACATTGGCCAAAAATGACATACAACAGTGGGCCAATTAGTTTAAGTATATGAAAAATAATTTGACGAACAAACAAGACTGAGGTTAAAACTAAAATCGAAAAATAATAAAAAAAATCAAAACTTCAATATAACATTTGAATAATGTGAGCAAAACAACAACATAGGCTAATTAGCACTTTGCTGTTAAAAGATAAACGATTTCACATTAAGTATACGCCATGCTTACAGACTGAGAGAATCTGAATCTAGAATATGACGAAAAACATTACATTACGCATGTTTGAATTACATTAAATTACATTAAGTATAATGAATAAATAAAAGAATAATTAACATAAATGGGATGCATGGCTTCAAACTATCCCCTCCTCATTTGGCAACATTCACGAGCCTAGCTTCGTAGTTTATTTCGTCACATTTTGTCTACATCTTAAAAAACCAATGCTATTTAAACTTGAGAACGAAAACTTTTATTAATATTTATTAACTCCTATTAATACTTAGGCTCTGACAATGCTTGTGCTACTGTATTACTTATTTGAACAACAAATGCGAAATTAGAGGTTACCGATTATATTAAATTCAGGACTGACGCTTTTTTAAAAGCCAGCTGTCCAGCTTCAAGGATCGGCATATAGAAAAAATAAAAAAAAAAGAATTTCGAGCTCGAACCGATTGGGTACAAGAACGAATTGGAGCCTGAGCATAAATGTTAACCAGGTTTTAAAAAACTTTAAGAAATTGGTAAACACAAATATAAATTTCCTATAATATTAATAATATATGCAAAGTTTCTATAATATTTATAATATATGCAAGAACTTAAATAGCTTTGGTATATATACAAGTTTAGGCTGGCAAAAAATGCATAAACTGACCATTGTACCAGGCACGCCTGAGAGCTAAGTAAGCGGCAACAGTCAAAAAATTTGCGAACCGAGCGTGAACAGCAAAAATCTTGAGTGAAGTTTAAAAGCTTTTTTCTACTTTGCCACAGCAAAAGTAGAATATATGAAGTTGAAGAAGCGGAGCCATATATAAATATATATACAAAAATATACTATATATATATATATATATATATGGGATGGCGGCAGTTTCTAAGTTGAATTGAAATGTGCTGAATGGCAGTAATTGCCTGAATATGTTACACAGGCACACACATGGGTGCACTAATGTGCGTGTGGGTATGTGTGTATATGCGTGTGTGTGTGTGTGTGTGTGATAGCTTGTATATGTTTATGCACACATACACACAGTCACATGAACATTTTGGGCAAATCATTTTTATGCTTTTGCCTGAAAAATAAAAAGAGACACACTTATCATTCATTCCACTTTTAGCATTCGTTTCTTTTTGTGGACTTGCAACAAAAAGCAGCAGCAGCAACGGCACATAAATAGTGGTAAACTGCAACAGTCGCACTCACAACTTGCCACAAGATGCAACCACCAACACCATCGTCGTTGCCGTCACCGCTGCCGCTGCCGTTGCCGCTGCTGCCGAGCTCTTTAGTGCGGAAATGATTTAATGCGCTTCGCAACTCTTCAGCTTATTTTGTTAAGATTTTTGCCAGTGGCTGCGGGCATGATGATGATGATTTTGATTTGGCATGCAGAGTTTCCAGTTTCCAGTCAGTTGCCATTCGCAGCGCCGCAAAGTATGCAGCGCCTTTTTGTTTACGGCTATTGAGGCAATTAGTTTCATCTGAAACCGTCTCCCACTTTCTATCTGCCTCTTAATATATATGTGTGTGTGTGTGCGAAACCAATAAAAAGCGACAAGAATTTATGTTGAACTATTATGAATGACAACGACTTTTTTCAACTATTTCCTGCTTTAATAAAATTATATACAAGGCCTGCAGAGAAATAAAATAATTAAGATTAAATGAAATTGTTTGATAATGCCTATAACGTGTCTATTTATATGTAGAGCATCTAAAACTCTTATAGTTCAAATGGTTTGAACTTATTTTGATACCCTTATATCTTCATGGGTATTATAATTTTGTCATGTAATGTGTAAGGGGAGGAGACTTCTTCGACTCTATGCAGTATTTATTCTCTGAGTCATCAACAGACACTTATTGAAGTCTTTAAACAATCAACCAAGGACTTTGCACGAGTCTTTTCTTTTTGCTGCATTTCAAAGGTTTAATATTATTCTTGCATATGAGCATATCTTAACAACATAAGATCACTATAGCATAAAAAATGAGTTCTTCTATGGAATACTTTTCTGTTTCTTAAGATTTCTGGATCAAACTTAGCCACTGGAACTCTTTACTATTTGCCTATCATTTGTTCAAAACTGCTTCCAATCGGTCTACTATATCACATGAGTCCTACGAGAACAATAAGTCGGAAATCGACTCAGCTTTTGCACAAAGGACGTATATCTACAAGGGTATTTATTTGATGCTTATTTGAAGCTGTACTTTGTTAAAAGCAAAGAAGTGCTTGATTATAGACAAAAAATTAGTATTAAATAAAATAAGCTGTTGATTTTATTATTATTATATCATTATTATTGATTCCCCTCTACAATTCAAATCTATACTAATCCGTTTTCACAACCATAAACTCAATGTGATTTACGGCTTAGTTAGAATCTGTTTGGGCTTAAATGCTGGCCACCTGCTTAGAATATGCATTTGCAGTTGTCATCGCTGGCACGTTCGCAAAGAGAGACATGAGAACTGTGAACTGGGAGCTGAGAATTGAGAATTGAAAGCAGAAAACTGCGAGCTGTTTGCTATTTGTTCGCCAAAATGTCAACTGAATAACGAACTTCTTGCCATTCGGCGGCGCTGCGGCGGCTAAGGAAACAATCAGGCAATTGCCAGAGGACTTGTACACTTTTCGACTGCGGCTCTGACTAACAGACAGTTAGAGCATACACACACACACAAACACAAACACCCTCGCACACGCACACGCACACGCACATATAAATGCAGCGCAGATGGAGACAATTCTGTTCATTTGTATTTAGCTTTAGCAAACTGCAAATAAAAAACAAAAAATAAAAAAAAAAAAAAAACGAAAACCCCAAGAAAAAATTAAGAACAATGTTGAGGCAAACTTTTTGCGCAGCATTTTAATTGCACGCAAAACTTTTAACTAACTAACAAGCCACAAACTAGGCAAACACCTCAGTGCACACACAGCACTAACACACACGCGCACGCGTATATATATATATATACATACATATATATACTGCTGGCCAGGCACCAAGGCACAAGTCTAAACAAAAGCGACTCGGGCAAAATCTAATTTTCAAACATTTACGTTTTCATTTTACTTGTTAACAATATACTAAAAACTCGCTCCAGTCGCAAATCTTGAAGCCTCTTTCATTCAGCTGTCCTCCAGCGGGAGTTGTGACGGGGTGTGTGCATACATGTGTGTATGTGTGTGTGTGTGTGTTTGCAGTAGGTGTGATGTGCCCAAAGAGCGGATGCCAAGTGCTGGCAGACAGTTGCTGCATTTGCTGAATAAACATGAGCGACTTCTGTGGGCGCTTACCATAACCGCTTCCGTTTCCGTTTGAAATTGAGTCGCGTCCTTCAGCCTGGCGGCTAAGCGAATTTCCAGCATGCAAAACTTTTGTGTGCTCGGCCCCAGCCTGCTGCCTTGAGCGGCGTTTTTCCGTGCAGTTTATTGCCTGCGAACAATGCAACTGATTGCAAAATGAACAACAACAAAAAAAAACGAGAAAGTAAGGATATCTTTGTCAAGTCGACAATTTAATACCCTTGTAGACAATATTCTTACAGCATTGCAGATATGTGTGAGAATATTGAAACTCGTTAATGCTGAGTTTGATGAAAATATCTGAAAATATCCATTCCACTAGAACCTCTTCTGACCAATCGTTCCTATAGCAGGTATGTTATATTTTATGTGTGTAAGCATAGTAAAACTTATAAATACCGAGCTAGGTAAGATATCTTGATAAAGTAAAAAGTGTTCCGTACAAGAATTGCTCCGATCCGACAAGTTCCTACTTTCCAAGACAATAGCCTTAGCTAGAGGCTCGTTTGAACAGAGACAGACAGATTTACAGACGGCTATATCAACTCGGCTGTTGACGCTGAACGAGAATATATCTACTTTATATATACTTCTATGCGTTACACATTACATGAGAAAATAATAGTACCCTCGTCTCGCTTTCTTTTTTTCTTTGGATGGAAAGTAACCCAAGTATCAATCAACAGACCAAATTGAATATGCTGAAAAAATCTAATCGGAAAATCGATTCTTATTGATCTTGTGTATAGTACATGTTACGTGCAATTGCACAAAAGCATCA